ATGCCATGATAAGGGGGAATAACTTAACAGACTGGATGCAGGGCTGGCAATACGGCAAAAGGCTAATTTATTTGAGGCCCATATTTCGGCTAACAGAATTAGTCTTCCTCAGGGCAGAGCTACACTGAAAGTAGTAGGGTATGTTAAGACTAATACCTCAACAAACAGCGTAATCCACTTTGAAGGAAGTGCGCATGAGGAGAAACACAGGACTAAACATCAAGCTTTAAAAATATATTACTCGAAATAAATACGAAATTCTACATGTGTAGTATCAAATGTACCTGTACGGTAGTTAGTTCCGATTAGAGCATCCACCCCATCTGCAATACAGTTTGCCTATGTGCAACCTACAATCTTGGACAAAAGGTGTTAGGATTTTTGCACTCTCTTACCCACAGAACGCTTATCACGCGGGATTTGGTACCGCTATTGCCCCTCCCTTACTCCACCCAAAGTTGAATAGCCGGGATCAGAAATTATCCAGCCGGACTTAAATATTGTTTTTGTGGGGTAAAGCGGGAGTATTTGTTATTGCCCGAGCTTTTAAGAGCTTTATCTTGAAACTAGCCTTGGTAAAGTCCATTTTTCCTAACATTTTTGTCCAAGATTGCAGCTTCAATCACTAACCAAACCCATGAACATCTCGAGAGGTAAGAATAGTCTCACAAGCGTGACAGTGATAAATTCTCAAAATTACTTGTATTATGCTATTAACACCGATTCATCTTTTTACATTCCGAAGAATTTGCCCCACAAACAAAAAAGAGGATCGACGCGAAATCGACTAAAATTATGTAGGCTCACTCTCCGCGTTTCGGAAGCGTGAGAAATTTAAAGCGAGAGTTAAAGCAATAAAAATGAACGGGAAATTCGCCACTTAGAATCGAGAAGGAACTGAAGCCGAAACGCGTCGCGCAATTGTTTCTGGGATCGTTACTAGGGACGGCTCGGTCACTAGTAACAGTCCAAGGAGTCATTGCGAAAGTTAACTCGACCCAGTTTCCGTCGCGTTTCAACAGTGGCGACACATTAACATGGCAGCTTAATAGCCAGCTTTTCTCCTAAGCGTCCCCACATAAATCCAAAGAGAAAACACGCCCTGCAGGTAAGGATGAACGTGCACGGCAAGGGCGGATTCTACATCAGGATCTTCTATTGCGTGTACTCCAGTGCTGAAGACGGCTTCAGATACAGGGGGAATTTCAGTGAATGACATGTTGATTGGAAATCCAGACAAGTGAAAACATCAAAATGATTTGATCAGAAAGGAAGTTCATCTCTGACTCATATTCTATGTATTCCGCTAAATGACTGTCTAAAAAGACAAAAACGAACGAACGAAACGAACACGTCATAATTGTAGTAAACAATAAGAGTCATATTTACCTTGTAGGAGGCGAGAATTTGGTCCAACTCAGCAGCGTGATTCACAGAGGTAGCTTGACTAACACTCTGTTCCATACTATGAAAGCAAAAAATAATACAAGAAATGACGAGTTCAACCTCAGTAAGAGAGAAAATACTTTAATAAAAAGAGCATTGTTGATGTTCTTGGTCTAGACAAGACGTCTGAGGCTCAAAATTTAACCAAACCATGGCGATGTTTTAAGTAAAAATAATAATTAGTTCATTGAGAATGAAACTTTTACATTTAACAGGATACAGCCCAGTGTAAATTACTACGGTGCTAACCAGTAACTTGCTGGACTAGCTTAAAGGGGGCACCGTTGAACCCTGCCTGTTAAAACAGCCTCCTTTTAGAGACGTTGAGCAGTGAAAGGCGACTGTAGTCGATGGGTTTTCGTTGGTGTTAAGTTGGGAAATAAAAAAGATTGAAAGAAATAAGCTTTTAAATACCAGGGCTAAGACTCAATCCTACTCACTTTGCCAACAGGCTCCGAAAGGCTTGTGTGCAATACCTGACAAAGAAAGAAAATTATTCATCCTGGCAGTTATTCCCTGTTTAACGGGTGCAAGGAAGAACTGAATTGAGATCAAATAAGATCATATAATTTAGGGAAGCAATGTGAGACAAACCATCTCTAACTACAGGTAAAGGTGCCGACGAACAGAACGAATCAAATCAAAGTTAAACAGGGCTATGCTCTGGCAGCACTTAGCATCCCCTTAAACCTTACTTTTGTCCTTGGGCGACTAGGAAATCCTTTCATAGCGGAGCCTCCATTGCTATAGAAATTGGAAACTTAGCGATGGGATAAAATTTGGGGGTGGGGGAAAGGACGAGGGAGTTCAAGTCATACAGCTTGCGTTTAGCTTGAAGTTGTTTCCTGTCGCTTCTTGCTAAGGATGGCAAAGATTGACATGGATTGGAACTTGAAACAACTGGGCCATCTTCTTTTTCAAGTTTTAACGCTATACCTACCAAAAACAAAAAAAGGAAAACTATCATGGTTACCAACGCGCGGCTCCCTGATCAAATTTGTTTGACATCTTCTTGGAAACTATACAGGAGCAATTTGTGTATGGGTACATGAAGACACTAATTAATGACTTTCGCACAGAATTGACCTAAAACATCAATATCCCCGTGACACAGCCCAGGGCTGTCACTAAGATTTCAAGTTGCTGGGTATATGAAATTAGTAGGCGGGGAATTAAACAACTAAGAAGTCCCTTTGGGTTTTTTTCTTTTGTTCCTTATGAAAGTAGCCGCGGGTTATGTTCATAGCGGCCAGGGGAAATCCCCGGCCCCCGGCCGTTAGTGACTGCCCTGATAGACCCTTTAACTTTGAGGGAAAGCGTGGATTGAAACCACTTGGTTTTAAAGGAGGAAAAAAACGGCTTGGTCTCGACAAGGAATGATCCTTTAAACAGAATAATTTAGGTGTTCGAACAAGGGGGAAGATGGTGTAATCATTTTAGAATCTAACCAGTACATACAACACAGTACACTTGTTCCATCGTGTCACAAAGCGAGGACGCCATGACATCACTTTATCACGCAGAATCTTCTCGATCCTTAAATAAAATGGTGGATCTCAGGTTAAAAGAACAGCGTACAGCGTCTCCCTTCGCCTACTGCTCTCGGGCGTCTTCTCGTTACTTCCATATATGGAGAACTTGCCCGCAGGCTAGCTTTAACTGTACTTTCTGGTATATATATATGGTGCCTTGATAACTGATTGACTTTGAAATCGTAATTACAATCAGATGTAAAACAATAAATTAACCGATTAAGGAATTAACTTTCCGCACTCTTCAACACAAGTTTCGTTAATAAAAAAAAAACACAGAAAGGTCTTGGATCTTGTTCACGGCAAACTGACAAAACATCAATTTGTACCATGTGGTCAATTTTTTTCCTTTGCTTTTGTTGTTGTTTACTGTTCATTACCTCTAAACGAAAATAAACGACTTTCCTCTTACCATTTTTCTGTTTATATTTGTTTATTTCCTCGTTCAGAAATTGTCAACATTGATCTGACGTTTGTCGTTTGATGAAAACTCGAGTCGAAATCTCTAGACCCTCCTCGATCTCCATATTTAGATGATACTCAGCCTCATTCAATAATCGTTAATTATTTATCACTGGCTTCCTAGGTTTTATCTTAGTCGGTGAATTTTCTTGTACTGACACTTACTGGAACACAACAACAACAACTTTATTTGTACCCTACATGCATTGATTTGCATGATACAAAAAAAAAATTAGATAAAATATGGAGAGAGTCAGACGGCCCTTCCCTTCGTCAGAACGCATCCTAATCTGGTGTTCCTGTGGCACAAAGAGAGACATTTTCGAGCTATCACGGGCCACTGCAAATTAGCCACCCCTATTAATTTTATCAGGGGCATCTTGGCTGGGAAACTGGACCCCTTTCGACTCGATTTCGTTTCCGTAAATGACGAACGCGGATCCGTAATCAATAATTACCTCTAGTAACCATACACGTGACTATTTTTTTTCTGTTCAAATAAAGGTCCAATTTCCAGTTCTTGGCAGGTGCAAAACGAAGGCGTTATCTTGGCTACAATTTAATTAAAACTCGTCTGACAGTTTAAATCGTAGTTGATAATGTTCAGGCAAATATTATCGCTTACGCACGGAGCCCAATGACAATTAACCGAGCCCCAGCTGCAATACTCGGCAAAATTTTTTGTTTTTCGGAATTTCATCCACTACAGCAAATACTATGCTCTTTCTTTCTTTCACTAAGTCATTTTTTACTTCAACTGCCACGGTGAAAATTTTGTTAAACTGTGTTTTTTTGGGTAGCAAAACCATATGCTATGCAGGTTAGTGTCTTTTAAAGAAACAGCCAGAAGTAACATACAATTTGGCATGTCACGAGGATATTGTTTCTTTTTGTAGGTCAATTCGTCGCTGAAGCCATTACTTACTACCTTAAACCATACACGAAATGCGAAGACATCGAACAAACTTCATCGGTGAGCTGTAACCAAAATGATATTTTGGGCAATTTTTGCAGGCATGGAATTTAAACTTGGAAAAGTTGGCCCAACCTTTTCAAGCTTCAAACCATGAACATCCTTGCCATCCGTTGCAATAGACGACAGGAAACAGTTTCTTTACCTAAATAAAGACTTTAATATCAAAACTGGACCATTGTTTTTAGAATTTAATTGATGCAAAAAAAAAGTTCTATATACATATATGTTGTAGTTAATTTTTAATATCAGGTAATTTTTGTTTTTCTTTCGTTTTTGGGTATGGTAATGTTTGCTGATAAAGTTGAAACAAAGGGAAAAAAATTACCTGAGATAAAAAAAATCAACTACAATACATATATGGTGGCATAGCCACTTTCTTTTTGGCTAATAACTATTAGTCATTCCTTGATGGCGCCAGAACCCTACATTAAGGTGACTCTAGTATTTAATTAAGTGGTCTAATTCATTCGTCTTTCATAAAGGCAATAGATGATATTTACTTAACAAATTTCAGTTTGGCGTACTGTTAAAGCAGCATCTTAAAACTTCCTGGATATCACACCTGTTTGTAGTAGTATGCCGACATGAACTCCACAGTAAATGAACCGGGCTGCTCAAGTCAGCTAAATTCTACAGCAGAAAAGGTCGGGCAGACCTTTGCTTACTGCATAATCCTTGTTCTTTCTTTGGTCGGGAATTCCTCCATTGGAATAATTGTGTACAGAACAAAAACTATGAGGAAACCGACAAATTATTTCGTTACAAACATGGCCATGTCCGACTTGCTGTATTCAATTTTCTTTTTTCCACACAAAATAGCCCTGTTGTACAAGGGACAGTCATGGCTTGTTGGCAGTGGTTTTGGTCAAGCAATGTGTAAATTTCTTCCTTTCTTATCCGACACGTCCACCATTGTTTCCGTTCAGAGTCTGATTCTGATAGCGGTGGATCGATTTGGAGCTGTGTTATTTCCCCTTCGTTCTCCACTCATCACGCCTTCACTATGTCCCTTCTTCATTCTCGCCATATGGGTTATTGCCATGGCTTATTTCTCGCCATATTTATTTGTCCACAAACTGGTAGAATACAAAGGGAAGCTAACTTGTAAAATGCGTTGGAAAGAGACTTTTGGAGACTCCTCGTCGCTTCCAAACTACTTCCTGGCAGGATTCATTGTATTCATTTACCTGCCGATTGTCTCGTTGGCGTTGCTGTACTCCAAGATTCTTGTCAAACTCAGATCACAAGCGCATCCAGGTGAGCAGTCGACCAACGCCGAGGAACAACGCACCAGAAGAAACAACAGCGTGCTAAAGATGGCCATTGCTATTGTCTCAGGTTTTGTGATATGCTGGGTGCCTTTCACTGTCACTGTCTTGCTCCAACTGTTTGCATGGAACCGTTCAATTCCTTGTAGCGCAGCTCACTACGTGACATTCACAAGGTTTTTAGCCTACACAAATTGTGCTATAAATCCTCTTATCTGCTTCACTTTTAGTAGCAACTATCGTCAGGGTCTAAAAAGACTCATCCACTGTTTTAGTAGTGCTGCAGTGCTTCCAGCTTAAGATTATTGCCGAACAGAAAAGCAAGCCGAGAAGCGAGACTGTGGGCAGCCTCTTGGGATGATCGTGCGAGTGAGTATGTCGAGCGAGGCGATTACTAACAGTAGATTCGTTGCTAGCAGAGTAACAACAAATGGTGATGCCGGAGGTGACACGGACTGCAATTTAAGCTTTCTTTACCAACCGAATGCTTCCACCGTTTGCTCCAAGCGATTTTTTTCGTCTGCGAACTCAAACGTAAATATGTTTTGTTAAAACTGAAGTCTTGTGGATGATCTCTCAAAACCTCGTCAACAGTCTAGGCCGCATGGAGTCATATTAAATCGAGTCGGTTTGCGCGTAGTGTAACTCGACCTTTGTTTACTTGATAGGAAAGGAGGGAGACTTACAGAAGAGAGTGAGATAAGGCCGAGCATAACGTACACCTCCAAATCAAATAGAGTTACTGATAATGAAATGTATCAACTGACCACTTTCAGACAGAGTAACTCAGCGAGTTTGGCTTGTGGAGAATCTGAACTTAAATATTTTTAATTATCAGGAAAGGTAAACTTAAGTATCGTGTTGAAAATAAGCTTCCTTTTTTAATACCAGGACAAATAAATAAAATGGCTATCATTTACTACCGGCTATGAAAAAGTGCAACATCTTTTAGACTTACATGTAGGATTAAACTACTAATCCTAACTCTTTTTAATAACCAAGACAAAACATCAAGCCCGAATCAAGCTTTTGAAAATTGAAATCAGCAAAAAGATAGTAATTTTACATCCCAATTTTTTTATCTGACACGTAGACAGATAATGATCTTTCAAGAATCTTGAGTTGTGTCTCTCGTCAATAACGTAACTCCTTTTCATCCAACCATCCGAAAGCAGCTCTTGGACTTTCCTCTGCTAAACGCCCTTAAAGAAGACTTTTTGAAGCGCACTGTTATCTACTTTGAGCTCTGTCGTTTCAAGTAAGATTGCGAAGTTCGCGTGTAAATATTTAAACACTGATATGATTATGAAATTCTCGGAAGCGTTGGCCCTCCCATATAAGCCTTTATTGTCATGGTGCTGGCAATATGTCTCAGCGCTTAATTGAAACAACCCTTTTTGGAACTTCGTTTTTGATCATTTTGGCGTGGACGCGAGGCCAAAACAAAAGAAAAAGTAGTCATCTTCAAACAAACGTATTGAAACGCATCGGTGCTATGGAGGTGTAAGTAGTGGATCTGAAACCAAATGAACACACACACAGGTAGCCGGCAACAGTAAACAATAATGATTTCTTTCATCAGAATAGATCTAATCGGCCTAAACTTTGTTTTACGAAAAGAAAAGGACAATGAATAAACTGGTACGGTAAGAAAAAAACAAAACAAAACTGGCAAAATGATAACTACTGAAGTGATGATAATTTTTAAAACGATTAGTGAATAAGGTTGAGTATTGTGGGAAGAAATGTGGAGATCGAGGAGGATAACACCGTCTGAGAATAAATAATAATAAACAATTATTGGATGAGGTTCTTGTGGTATCCGGAATAATCCAGGTCGAGGTAAGTGCTATCAGCCCAGCCGAAGGCCGAGGCTGATAAGATAACACTTGCCTTGCCTAGTCCCTGTACGGCGTCTTTTCAGGCCCTCTCGGTCAATGCATTTCGGTGACGTATCCGAGACGAACGGCCGGGAGACGCCTAGACAATCTCGGAGTGCGCATGCGTGAGCATTTTTGCATTTTTGAAAAGTTCCCTGTAAATGAACCGGGCTGCTCAAGTCAGCTAAATTCTACAGCAGAAAAGGTCGGGCAGACCTTTGCTTACTGCATAATCCTTGTTCTTTCTTTGGTCGGGAATTCCTCCATTGGAATAATTGTGTACAGAACAAAAACTATGAGGAAACCGACAAATTATTTCGTTACAAACATGGCCATGTCCGACTTGCTGTATTCAATTTTCTTTTTTCCACACAAAATAGCCCTGTTGTACAAGGGACAGTCATGGCTTGTTGGCAGTGGTTTTGGTCAAGCAATGTGTAAATTTCTTCCTTTCTTATCCGACACGTCCACCATTGTTTCCGTTCAGAGTCTGATTCTGATAGCGGTGGATCGATTTGGAGCTGTGTTATTTCCCCTTCGTTCTCCACTCATCACGCCTTCACTATGTCCCTTCTTCATTCTCGCCATATGGGTTATTGCCATGGCTTATTTCTCGCCATATTTATTTGTCCACAAACTGGTAGAATACAAAGGGAAGCTAACTTGTAAAATGCGTTGGAAAGAGACTTTTGGAGACTCCTCGTCGCTTCCAAACTACTTCCTGGCAGGATTCATTGTATTCATTTACCTGCCGATTGTCTCGTTGGCGTTGCTGTACTCCAAGATTCTTGTCAAACTCAGATCACAAGCGCATCCAGGTGAGCAGTCGACCAACGCCGAGGAACAACGCACCAGAAGAAACAACAGCGTGCTAAAGATGGCCATTGCTATTGTCTCAGGTTTTGTGATATGCTGGGTGCCTTTCACTGTCACTGTCTTGCTCCAACTGTTTGCATGGAACCGTTCAATTCCTTGTAGCGCAGCTCACTACGTGACATTCACAAGGTTTTTAGCCTACACAAATTGTGCTATAAATCCTCTTATCTGCTTCACTTTTAGTAGCAACTATCGTCAGGGTCTAAAAAGACTCATCCACTGTTTTAGTAGTGCTGCAGTGCTTCCAGCTTAAGATTATTGCCGAACAGAAAAGCAAGCCGAGAAGCGAGACTGTGGGCAGCCTCTTGGGATGATCGTGCGAGTGAGTATGTCGAGCGAGGCGATTACTAACAGTAGATTCGTTGCTAGCAGAGTAACAACAAATGGTGATGCCGGAGGTGACACGGACTGCAATTTAAGCTTTCTTTACCAACCGAATGCTTCCACCGTTTGCTCCAAGCGATTTTTTTCGTCTGCGAACTCAAACGTAAATATGTTTTGTTAAAACTGAAGTCTTGTGGATGATCTCTCAAAACCTCGTCAACAGTCTAGGCCGCATGGAGTCATATTAAATCGAGTCGGTTTGCGCGTAGTGTAACTCGACCTTTGTTTACTTGATAGGAAAGGAGGGAGACTTACAGAAGAGAGTGAGATAAGGCCGAGCATAACGTACACCTCCAAATCAAATAGAGTTACTGATAATGAAATGTATCAACTGACCACTTTCAGACAGAGTAACTCAGCGAGTTTGGCTTGTGGAGAATCTGAACTTAAATATTTTTAATTATCAGGAAAGGTAAACTTAAGTATCGTGTTGAAAATAAGCTTCCTTTTTTAATACCAGGACAAATAAATAAAATCGCTATCATTTACTACCGGCTATGAAAAAGTGCAACATCTTTTAGACTTACATGTAGGATTAAACTGCTAATCCTAACTCTTTTTAATAACCAAGACAAAACATCGATCAAGTCCGAATCAAGCTTTTGAAAATTGAAATCAGCAAAAAGATAGTAATTTTACATCCCAATTTTTTGGCCACGCAAATAACATGATATCTGACACGTAGACAGATAATGATCTTTCAAGAATCTTGAGTTGTGTCTCTCGTCAATAACGTAACTCCTTTTTATCCAACCATCCGAAAGCAGCTCTTGGACTTTCCTCTGCTAAACGCCCTTAAAGAAGACTTTTTGAAGCGCACTGTTATCTACTTTGAGCTCTGTCGTTTCAAGCAAGATTGCGAAGTTCGCGTGTAAATATTTAAACACTGATATGATTATGAAATTCTCGGAAGCGTTGGCCCTCCAACATAAGCCTTTATTGTCGTGGTGCTGGCAATATGTCTCAGCGCTTAATTGAAACAACCCTTTTTGGAACTTCGTTTTTGATCATTTTGGCGTGGACGCGAGGCCAAAACAAAAGAAAAAGTAGTCATCTTCAAACAAACGTATTCAAACGCATCGGTGCTATGGAGGCGTAAGTAGTGGATCTGAAACCAAATGAACACACACACAGGTAGCCGGCAACAGTAAACAATAATGATTTCTTTCATCAGAATAGATGTAATCGGCCTAAACTTTGTTTTACGAAAAGAAAAGGACAATGAATAAACTGGTACCGTAAGAAAGAAACAAAACAAAACTGGCAAAATGATAACTACTGAAGTGGTGATAATTTTTAAAACGATTAGTGAATAAGGTTGAGTATTGTGGGAAGAAATGTGGAGATCGAGGAGGATAACAATAAACAATTATTGGATGAGGTTCTTGTGATATGCGGAATAATCCAGGTCGAGGTAAGTGCTATCAGCCCAGCCGAAGGCCGAGGCTGATAACACTTGCCTTGCCTAGTCTCTGTACGGCGTCTTTTCAGGCCCTCTCGGTCAATGCATTTCGGTGACGTATCCGAGACGAACGGCCGGGAGACGCCTAGACAATCTCGGAGTGCGCATGCGTGAGCATTTTTGCATTTTTGAAAAGTTCCCACCTTCAACTGAAAACATCTATAAATAACTTTGCGCGTGAATATCCTTCGCTTAAAGATCGGCACTAACCTCGTTTCTGTTATCAAAGAACAAAAATATTACTTTGAATCGGAAAGAATACTACTGTATAACGTGCAAGTAATTTCTCTTTTAGTTCATTTTCAAATGAACCATTTAAAATGATATTTCTTTATTGATAAAAAGATTTGAAACAGCAGTTTGTTGACATTCTTCCTATTCAACAGCCTGTCCGATTAGTTTGATAGGCTTCCAAATCCAAAAATTCAGTTACATAAAATATTTCGAAGTGAAATGATAACGAGAAATTTATAGGAGCAAGCGAAAAATTGAGAAACGAGAGATAGCTTTTCATATCCAAGAATAAATATAAACTTATTTCTTTAGCTTACCTTCCGATTCCTGATCAAATAATTTTTCGGACGCTGTTTTGCTTAGCCTACAAATAGTTTTGAGATGAAATAAAGTTCAAATTAGTTTAATGAGATAAATGAAAAAGAAAGGCCAAAGGACTTTCAACAATGAAAACGTGCATAGAA